TTTTTTTTTTTTTTTTTTTTTTTTTTTTGAAGCTTGGGAGCACTCTCGACAACTGCGACAAGGGGCAGCGAAGCGCCGTTCACGGGTGTTCCAGAAGAGGAGTTTAGTTCCACTGCTGCGGGATGTTCTTCTACTGTTGAGGGTCTTAAGGGAATCGACCCACCTGAAGTAAACAATATTTAAAAAATTTTTAAGTCTGGAGTAGAAAAGAGGCGCAATGATTTTTTAGCAGTTGGTGTATGTCTGATGTGTTTTGTGACTTATTTTCTAGAGGGATGTTACTGAGACGGAAAAAGGGTCTACATCTCAAGCGAAAGGGAATTCTGCGGTTGGACTTGATAAAGAACAGTTAGTGCAAGCGTTGGAACATTTACTGCGGGTATTTTGTTTTTCGAAGTCTTTAATTAAGCAGATGTTTCCCATCTTCTATTAAAGCTCCATTACGAAATGCTCTTTTTACAGACAGATGACGAGTTTGTTGCACGACTGCATCTGGCTTATGTTGACAGTTTAAATTTAAGACTTGGTATTTAAAAGTAATACTGAGTTCTTAGCCACATCCGGGTTTATTTACGGGATTACTAGATCTGATCCTTCAAGCGTTTTGTGATCTTTAATGGTGTCATACCAAAAACATTTCCACATTGTTGTACATTAATTGTTACGTATTGAATGCCTTAAATGTCATATATTTAAAGAGAGGTCGATGTGTTGTTGCACCGTCCGTCTGAAGCTCCTAGTTAATAGCTGCTTCCCGCTCTTCTTCCGTTACTTTACTTCTAACAGTAAGAAACTAAGTGAAGCACTTCACTTTGCTGTTTTTGGGAGAGCTTTTTAGAAATTGAAAGGGATGTTGTACTGTCATTGTTGTCTCCATAGTCATAACACACTGCTTTGGCTTCTCCAATTTCGAAGAACGTCGGCACGTAAGGTAAACTTTTTTGTTAGTGATGCTCCCACCGTTTTTCATCCAGATTCTATGGTCGCATTAGGACGTTAGTTTATGAGGTTTTGTTGAAGTTTGTACTTATCATGATTGAAGCATTGAAGGTGGGTATGCGTTTTGCTTCTACGAGTGATGCGTATGAAAGAAAGGGTTTTGCGGGGTAGCCAAGAAGCTTGGGGAAGCTCGTAACAAAGCTGTTTGTGGTATTGTCCAGGCCTTCTCCACGCGAAGCTGGGAAGAGTTTTAATGTCCTTTTTCTTTAATGCAATTAGTACGGTGGTTGTTAGCGGCTGTGCTTCAAAATCTTGTAGTGCTAAGCATCTGGAATCTATTACCGTAGTATTCTGAAGTATTTACTACAATCGCTTAGCATGAACTCGATGTGTTTGAGAGCGACATGGTTCCCGCGTTTTCTTGAGCAAGGATATGTAGAGACAGACTAGCTGTGACCGCATGCTAGTTACGAAATTAGGAACTGTTGGTGCATTGCGGTGTTAAAAATGTGGTTTAGTGTTAAGCATTTCGAGTCTTAAATCACGATGTGGTGTAGGTTCGCAAAAATACAAGTATTTAACACGCTCTCGGTACAGGGTATCACTATGTGGAGCATAGTTTTTAGGCGTCAGGCGACTGCTACCTTCGCTTACAACGTAATCTTTGACTGGCTTTGTTACGACACGATGAAATTTTAGGTGAGTTACAAGGCACCCTTCGCACTTAAGATGCAGGCATTAAAATGGTTCATAAAAAGTGAAGAATATAACAAGTATTGCGCCATCTAATGTTTGGAGAATCGTTTTCCAAAAAGATATATATTTACAAGCCGGATATCGGTTTATGCAGGCTCCCTGTTATCTATTAAAACGTGGGTTTCAGATGATGGACTTTGAGTCTGGACTAAAAGGAAACGCCATTGCCAAGAGTCTTCCTTTTCCATCTCTGCTTGCGCAATTCCTCTGGCTTTTGACCCTTTCAAGTGGAACACCACGCGGATTCGTTGCCGACCGTCCTGAAATCTGAGTACATGATTGGCTCGGAATGAAGTCTTTTCGGTAGCTGCAAGATTATTTAATACCTTTTCATATTTTTGGTGAGCTAGGAACCTGCGACGCCCTCGCGCTGACTCTTCTCCGTATCCGGCTATTGAAGAGCCGAAAAGTTCTTGGCATCTTTCATCGGCACGTATCATAGACAGGGCAGTAGAAAACACTTTCTGTGGGCTTTCATAGGAGAAGAACTGTTCGAAGAGGACATAGCCAAGCAGTCCTAGAGCTCCCACAGATGCGGCAAGGACAACGTAAAAGAATGTGTTTTCTGCTTTCTGAACAACTGCAAACAGTTTTCTATAATCCTTACAAAGAGTAAGGAACTGTTGGAAGCGTCTTTGCAGTACCTTTAAACAGTGTAAGAATTAGCAAGGTTTACAATGAAGTTTGCCCAAAGCTCGCTGGGGAAAATAGTGTGACTCAAATTGCTTCACTGTTTTGGTGAGACTATTTCAATGCTTCAACTCCTAAGCTCCTTTCATTACAGAATTTATTTAGAAAAAGAGCAGACTTCTTGGCAAAGTTATTCTTCCGTTACTGTGTTGCCTTTCGAGCATAACTTAGCCTAATTTTTTATGTAATGCTTTTTACGACGTCAGGATAAGAAACATGCGTCAGGTAAACTCTTCACCACTACTTCTAAGATGGTTTCAGAGACTCAAACCGCCAGTTTTCAAATGCGATAACTTTTTAAAATGGTTTAAAGGGAAGTTGTCTCATAATACTTACGATGCTGGAGGACCAGATGAGCTCCATACCTGTGACTTTAATTCCCTATAAATTTTAAGCATCAATGGGATTTCAAGACTTATCACACGTTTGGTTTACACGTTTGGTTTATTATTTCCTAATTGCAATGTTCACGTACGTCACTCAGAGAATTTATAATACAAGTAATTTTATAGCGCTAAGGCAAGTGCATATTTTAATGAACAAACGAACACTGGAAAATGAGAGATTGTCTAGTGAAACAAGTGCCAACAAGCCTGCTGAAACTGCGCAGAGCTACAGGTTTTTGCTATGAGCCATATCCAAAGAGCATGTCGTTTTCTTACTGCGGGCAAAAGACAATTTGGAAACAACTCTTCCTTACCGTCTCAACCCCCTCTCCGTCGAACGGCGATAACATTTATGTTTCAAATCGGCACCCTTCAAGAGTTTCACTGCTATTGAAAGTTATGAGCAAGGGGTCCGCCAACTTCAATGTCGCAGTTGTTTATACCAGTGTAGCAAACTGCACTACTTTTCAAACAAAACGCTGCAGCGTTTATATTCTTAGGCACCTTAATGCCGTCCAACTTCAGAAGGACTGCTGCCTTCAGAGAAAACCGTTTACTTAATGAGCCAAAAATTATAAGGTACTTCTAGTTAAGAGTGAAAGAGTACTGAGGCAAGCCTCTACTCTTAAAGGTGCTCTGAAAAAGAAGTTACGTAGGTCTGTGCTAACTCGCTCATTTA